CACTAGACTGCTGATTGACCTAATGCAACACTTCTGCTGACCACTAGACTGCTGATTGACCTAATGCAACACTTCTGCTGACCACTAGACTGCTGCTTCCATGAGCCTTGGTTGTGGATCCAAGCAAGATGAAATCCTTCCTTGACAGCTTCGGTCTTCTCTCCATTTCTCCTGCAGTGACCTACTGGTGCAGGTGTGCGGGTTTTGGTCTTCCTGACCCTGAGTGGTCGTCCATAGTGAAGACTGCAGTCCTTGATCTTCATCTGCAAGTGCTTTGAGTCCTCCTCACTCTCAGCAAGCAAGGCTGTGTGCTTTATTGCAGGTTGTTAATAAGCCTTCCTCTGACCCTGATGCCACACTCTTCTTTATATTCTCCAGCTTCTCTGATGATTTGCTCAGCAAATCCACCCACCTGTCTCCCAACAGTTTTCTTAAAGCACCCCCTACGTGGTGACACCTGGACACTCCACTCGCTTCCAGCCCCTCCATACCCCCACCAGGAGTGCACACAGGACTGGTCCCTGCAAGGCCACCAAGACTCAGGGGACAGGACGTGTAGTGGAGCCAGGGTGAGCAGCGCCCAGCAGGACAGGAATTGGACCATGGCTGGAGCCAGCCTGGGCCTAGCAAGCTGGACCTGGAGTTGGGGGCAGCTTCAAGGTGGGGGTCTGGCCCAGGGGGAGGAGTGGAGTTTGGGCTAGGATGAAGATTAGGGTTTGACTTGGGGCCTCCTCTGAAGCTGGGACCCCACTTCTTACACAGGTAACCCACTTGTTGCCTGAGGACCACGATTCTTACACAGAGGGGTCCCAGGGAGAGATGGTGCCGGCTGAGGGGCGCTCCCACAACCCCCGAGACAGGACAGGGGTCCACTTGCCACACCCACCCACAGTGCCCTCATTTTACAGGTGAGAAAACCGAGGGTGGGGGGACCTTGCTTGGGTAAGCCCAGTGCGGTCAGGCGGTCGGGCAGAATCAGGAGCAGGGGCCTTGTGGGTCTCCGAGACCGATCGCCAATGGCCCCACTGCTCCTCCAGCCCCCAAGGGAGAGGGCCCCCGGACAGGCAGGACCCTGCTCAACCAGGTCCGGGGGCACCCGGGTGGGCGGGCACCCAGCGCTTCCACAGGGACACAGGGCGGGGCGGGGCGGGGCTGCAGCGGGGGCTCCGCCCAGCCAGCCCTGACTGCTTGCTTAGGTCGAGGACTTTCCCCTGCTGTCCACCCCAGGCGGGGCGGGACTCCTGGAATTCCCACCACGGAGCCCTGCATTCCAGGGCAAGGCCCTCCCTGGCATTCAGAGCTCAAAGGACCCTGGCCACGCTGCCCTTCCCCCATCACCTCTCACAGGACACCTCTGACCTGTGCCCCTAGTAGCAGTGTATGAGGAAGCCTTACCTGTGAGCATGGCCCTGCTGCTACTAAATCAACCAAGTGGATGCTGACTGGCACATACTGTGCGGCACAGGGCGGAGCCGTCCTTGTGATTTTCTACTCTTTACCGGAGTAGAAAGCCTCATCTTTCTCCCAAGAGGCAGCTGGTGGTTTCTAACTACTGACTTTGAGGATTGTGGCCCAATATGTAACCACTATGCACCAGGGCTCCGTGGCCCTCCTTGGACGTGGTCAAGTAAAGATAGGAACATAAAGATGGACCTCGTCCATTTTCCAGGGGCCCTGGGGGTGCTGGGGGCTAGACTTGGTCTGCAAACCACAAAGTCCACAGTTCAAACCCACAAGTTGGATCTTGGGATCAAAGGTAAGGCTGTTGGCTCCAGTCCACGTGGACAGTTTGGAGACACCGGTGACAGGGCCCCGGTGAGTCAGAATCCACCCGCCACTGCCGTGGGTCTGAGCTGATCCAGTGTCGCCGGCAAGTCTGCTACAGAAGACTCTAAAGCTGCCACTCAGATGACTGGGGGGGCCTGACCAGCCTCTCTGCCCATCGCTTCACGAGCTGGCCACTGGGCAGGAGGAAGACAAATGGGGGGCTGGTGAAAGATAAGACTTCTGCTCCCATGTAGTTATAGCATTGGCAACCCACAGGGGCCATGCCACCCTGTCCTGGAGGATCTCAGAAACCCACAGGGGTAGTTCTACCCTCAGGGGAAAGAGGTGTTCAGGGAGGGGACCCCCTCAGAGGGAAGTAGTGTTCCAGGTTGAGACACCCCTCAGGGGGCAGGGGATGCTTAAGGCAGGACCCCTTCAAGGAGAGCAGGCCAATGCCCTCTGCCCACCTGCACACACACACACACACACACACACACACACACACACACACACATCAGGGCCTCCAGGACCAGTGCTCAGCCTCTAAGCCAGTGGTTCTCAAACTTCCTAATGCCACGGCCCTTTAATATAGTTCCTCATGTGGTGGTGAATCCCCAACTATAAGATTATATTTGTTGCTACTTCATCACTGTCATTTTGCTACTGTTATGAATTGGGCAACCCCTGTGAAAGGGTCGTTCGACCCCCCAAAGGGGTTGAGACCCACAGGTTGAGACCTGAGGCTTAAGGAGTGCCTGGAGTTTGCGATGAGCTGGTCACCCGGTGAGACCCCTGGAGTGGGGCATCCCTGGGAGCCGCTCTGCAGGACTGAGAGAGTGGCTCTGCTAGCACAGCAGGGGGTAAGAGGGACGAGGTGCCTGGAGGCGACCAGGAGCCACTGGGGGTCCTCCCTGGACTTAGCTCTCCTTCAGAGCAGAGCCCGGGCGGGGCTGGGCGGGCAAGGAGGGCCATCTGCTGAGGGCTCAGCTGCAGGCTGTCCACCCCTCCACCCCCCTCCAGCTAGGCCGACCCACCCTGATAAACCCACTGTGGCCGGAGGTGTAATCTGAGCAGGAGGGTGGGAAGGGGTTGGGGAGTCCCCCCCCCCCAGGGGAATGCACACTTCTGACATGGCAGGGTCCCTTCCTGGAGAAGAAGGGCAGTGGAATCCCTGCTGGGACACTGAAACCTCAAAGACACCTGACAGCTTTTAGCTGAAAGACTGCCAGCCACACAAAGAACCTGCTTTTGAAACTTCAGATAAAGTGGGCATTGTTCTACCCCAAAGACAAGCCCCGGCCCCGCCCACCTGCCTCTGCCCTTGGTACCAAGCCTGCTGGAGGCCAGCAGTGTAGGCCCTGTTCCACGTCCTGGGGCCAGCCCTGGGCTGCACTGGCCTGCCTGGTCAGCACGCAGCACATCAAGGGCCCCCTCGCAAACCCTCAGGACCACAGCCACCCCCTGACCTGGTAGCCAGAAGGCCCTAGCCCAAGTGCAAACCCCCACCCTCACCCAGCCAAAGTCCAAGAGACCTCTCAGGGGTCTACCTCCTCTGTCTGCTGGAAAGGACCCCCCTACCCCCAGTCACCATGGGGCAGGCAGGCGGCCTAGGGCTTTCAAGATGCCCACGGGCCATCCCAGCTCTGCCCACTTTAACCTTCCCCAGAAGCAGAATTCATGGGGTCAGAGGGTCTGCGATGCCCAGGCATCCAGGGAGGCCCACAGAGAGGGAATGCGGGGCCCAATCGCCAGGCAACAAGGGTGGGCATCCTGGTACTTCTTGCTAATCAATCATTGGTAATGAGCAATTCACCAAGCTTCCCCAGTCTCTGGACACACCTCAGCGCCTGGGGGTGCAGAGGAAGGTTGGGGGGGGGGGCGAGGGAGTCCTGATGTCAGAGAGTCTGGCTGTCTCACCTGTGCACATCTGGCTCCTTGGCACCCACTGGGCCTCTGCCTGAGGCCTGGTCCCACCAAGGGCTCCCTCCTCCACCTTCGGGAATTTGCTGGGCAGGCACGGAGGAGGTCAGCAGGTGCTGCAGAGTCAGCAGTGGTCAGCGGCCACCCAGGGCTCACTGCCTGCCTCTGATGGGTGGTGGTGGGGGGGAGGGTAGTGCACACCCCCACACACTCACTCACACAGACCTCAGTCATATTCACACACCCACACAGTGAAATACACGCCCACGCAGCCACACTCCCCACTCATTCACACACTCACATGCCTCACACTCAAACCACACCTACCCACACGCCTCACACAAACTTAGCCACACAAATACACACTTCACATGCAAACACACACCTACTACTCATAGTAACACACTCACACTCACTGCTCATAGCCACACCTCACACACCCCTACCCCCCCCACCTCCCACGGAGACCTGTACCAACCCCCACATACCCACACACACTTCACACACTCTCACACACATGTGCACACTCACACAGCCTCCTCCCTGATCCCTGTCATCCACCCCCACCCCCTTCCCGGTCACTCTCCACTGAGGGCTGGCTGGCACAGGAGGGGTACAGCAGCCCTCTGAGCCAGCGTCCCCAAGGCCCAAGGCCTCACGAACAGCTGGGAAGGTGGGACGTGCCCTGTCCGCAGGCGCACACCCGGTGAAACGGACCCTCCAGGCACCAGCGGGTGTCCGGAGCACCCAGGACCCTGAAGGGGCGCAGGCTGGACGGGCAGGCGCCGTCCCATAGGGAAAGGCAAGCGCGGGGTGAATCTTCTCGGCGTCTCCCCCACCGCGGACACAAGCGCCCCCGCCCCCCGCGCTCACCTGCCCCGCCCTCGGGAGCGCGCCACTTCCCGGCGGACACGCCCTTTGCCCCGCGAGTTCACGCAAGCGCTCACCTCCTGGCCGCCGTGACCGACGCTGGGGCAGACAGACGGACGGACGCTGGGACGCTCCGCAGCTGAGCAGCCTCTGGCCCGCACCCTGGGAGGCGCCTGACCCAGGTGACAGGTCTCTCAGGGGATTGGCGGGCGCTGCCCCTCCCC